GTGGTCTATTGAATTGCAAGTTTGATATAACAAGTGGTCAACTTCTATTATCTTGTCTTCAATCATCTTGGCTTGAACAAATAGGGAACTGCATTTTGCTTCTTAAGAAAAGGCACGTCTTTGCCCCTGGTGTGAGATTGTGGGTCCCTCCTTGCGTTCAGATACCAAAACAATCTCCTGCACCAAGAAGCGCTAATTTCATTCGGAAAGGAAGCCAAAACTATCCATGGCCCTGCTCTTCCTCAGCTTTAGCCTTGCTTGAGGAGTATCTCTAGTGGTGGTTCTACCAGTCCTACCTTACAACACACCTGCTCTTTTCGTAACCTCAGCCCCTAGCAGAGTGCACATAGGAGGCACAGTAGAAATGCTTCCGGAATTGCTTGGGTTCATGCTAACAACTATAAGCAGGGGGAGACATTTTGAAGTGGAGTACTCTAAAAGTACTTCTGTGCTCAGGGAAGAGGTAAACCACAGCTTTAGAAGGTAATAGTCAACTGTCATCTATGGGAATCTTTAGGGTCACCCAGGAGGCAGCTAAATAGCTCAGTGGATAGAGAGCTGAGCCTGAAGTCAGGAAGACTTGAGTTCAAATTTGACTTTTGACACTTATTAGCTGTATGACCCTGGGCAAGTCACTTATTAACCCTGTTTGCCTCAGTTTCCTCATCTGTGAAATAAGGTGGAGAAGGAAATGGCAAACCATTCCAGTATCTTTGCCAAAAAAAATCCAAATGGGGTCATGAAGAGTCAGATATGACTGAAATGACACAACATCTATATGAAATCATTGTTTCTATAGCATCTACAATCTCATAATCAAACCAGAATCTACTTCTCTTCTGATAATTTGAACCTGTAATTTCTCTCCTTAAACAGCATTTCCCCAGAGCAAAGTGGTGCAAGAGGCACGGCGCTCTGGGATTCCAAACAGCATAAGCCTAAATGACAAAATTCCTGATGTTCTTCCAGGGAGCAATTCCTTTGACTCTTTCCTAGGAAAAGGCTTTGCATCACTGCTCTACTGAAACATAATGATCTTCAGATGCATGGTCTCTTTGAAGGGAAAAATCTTTAAAAGGGGAGAGAAAAAAATAAATAAAATCTTTGCTGATTTTCTCAGAGGACGTGAAACTGGCAGATGAGGAAGGCAAGGGAACATATTACTGCACTTGGAACTGACAGCTCAAACTGAGAATTTCCTTAGCTCATTTCTTAGGTCATCTCCTCTGCCCACCCTCCCCTCCCCAACCCACATACCTCAATATCACTTTTAAAGAAAATATTCCAAGTTTTAAAAAAAAAATTTCCACCAAAGCTGCCTGATATATTTTCAAAAGTTGGTTTAATTTTATCCAGTTGTCATGAAGAGGAAAAAACAAGGCTCTAAAATGAAATTATTCGTCCAGGGCTTTGAATCAAGTCAGAGATCAAATAAGGTAAGAAACAGAACTTTTTCTCTTGTTCCCAGGCTTACTTTTTACCCCTGTTATTCCCTTGAAATATTTTTAAAACCCAATACTAGATGCCATATCTAAATTCCTAAAGCAGAACATGACCCACATGTGTACATATATAAAACCAATCAAAACTTCCCTTCAGGAGACTATAAAAATTGGCTTCACAGAAACTCAAAGTGGCAACAAACCCCAGAGGCCATCTAGCAGCACCCTCTGAAGTATATGATGGCCTAAAACTATCTCTCCTTCCTTCCCCTACCTTGAAAACTTTCCTTCTTAGGTTGCTATTGATCTAAGTTTAGATTAAGTCTTAATAGTAGCCAACATTTATCTAGTTATCTAAATTATCTAAGGTTGTGTGTATCTATGTATATGTGTGTGTGTGTGTGTGTGTGTGTGTGTATAATTTAAACCCTCACAACAACCTTGTAAGGAAAATGCCATTATTATTTCTATTTTGCAGAAGACGAAACCAAGATTGAGAATGGTAAATTGATTTACACGAGGTTACAAAATTAGTAAGTGGCTGGGGCAGGATTTGAATTTGGGTCCTTGACTCCAAGTTTAGTGCTCTATTGAGAGAAATGATTATTTCTCTGTCATATCAATAACCAATTATTAAAAGTAAGAATACCCAAGCTTTTTTCTCTGTGCTATTTCCTTCTCCAAAACCCGGTGTCTCAAGGCCTGGGCTAATGGAAGATAGGATTAACACTCTCCTCATTCTAGGTATTGCTACATCACCCAACTAAATCAGATTTCTCATGGGAAACTGAATTCCTGCCCATTGTGTTCCACTCAAGCTAATTTGGATGACGTAGATCCTCTGTCTAGGTCTAACAATTAACAGAAAGAAAACAGGTGCTCCATCAGCCACCCACCACCACACCATTTATAGGTGGAATCATTGGTTACAGGAAATAGAGAAGTTTTGAATGCTGTGGATAAGCTCACTTACCTTGGTAGGGTACTTTCCATGGATGTACAAATTGATAATGTTGACGCATGCATTGCCAGAGCTAGCTCAGCATTTGGAAGACTCCAAAAGAAAATATGGGAGAGAAGAGGTATTGGACTGACTACCAAACTGAAGGTCTACAGAGACATTGTGCTGACCTCATTTTTGTATACCTGTGAAACCTGGACAGTATACTAGTGCCATGCCAGGGAACTGAATGGCTTCCATTTGAATTGAATTTGGAAGATTCTGAAGATCACCTGGCAGGATAAGATACCAGACACTGAGGTCCTTTCTCCAACTACAGTGCTAAGCATTCAAACTCTACTTCAGACAGTGCAACTATGATGAGCTAGCCATGATGTTTGAATGCAAAATGTACATTTACCAAAAAGATTATTTTTATGGAGAACTCATGCAGGTCAGGCATTCACATGGTGGTCAGAAGAAGCAATACAAGAACACTCTCAAGGTCTCTCTTTAGAACTTTGAAACTGATTGTGTGACGTGGGATACACTGGCACAGGACCACTCAGCACGACATGCCCTCATCAGAGAAGGTGCCGCGTACTATTAGTAAAGCAGAATTGAAAACAGCTCAAAGGAAACACAGCATGCACAAATTTAGAGAATCCACCTCAAATGTTTACACAGACTATTTGTGCCTGACCGGTGATAGAGCATTCCGGGCTCATATTGGGCTAATCAGCCACAGTTGGACACACAGAAGCATGACTCTAGCATAGTGATGTCATTTTGGTCCTCTTCAAGAATGAAAGACAACAACCAGGTTGCTCAAGGCTGTGGGTTGTCTGGGTAGAGGTAGCCCCTTTGTCTAAGAGACACAGGATGTTACTCTCCCAGCCCCTCATTAGAATAGGCTTACTTATTGTTAATTGTTAACCAATCAGAATTGTCATCCTCTGGTACACTGACTTTTCAAAGGGCATACAAGCCACGATTGTCTTTGGTCTAGGAGAGATGGCCAAATGATCATTAATTTTATTAACAAAATGCTGGTGTTATTAATAAAATGATTAATTACCCAGAATTTCTCAAACTTTTTATATATCACACTATCCACTATAGTCTAGGGTTTTTTAAACTTTTTCCGCTAAAGACCCCTTCAGCACTTGTTAAGACTGTGGGTTGAGACCCCATATGGGTGACTATAACCACCTAGCTGCCTCACAATTTTCAAATTAAACTAATTCATAATAAGAGATGGATTCCACTGAACCAGACACTGAAGTCCAGGTTCTAGTTCTTCCTTCATGGTGTGACCTTAGGTAAGTTCCTACAACTGTCTGGCCAGTAATTGCCTAATCTATCAAAGAAGAGTGTTGGTCTGGAATAGATCATCTCAGAGGCTCTTTCCAGCACTAAATCACACAATCCTTTTTGATACCCTTCTTTGGATAGTCATAGGTAATTCTACTTTCTTAGTTACCTGTCATACACAAGGAGAAAAAGATTTCTTTCTCTAGACTTCTCTTTCTTCCTACTTTTTTCCCTGGTTGCATTTTTTTCCTCCATTTTTGTACTAGGCAAAAAATAAGTCAATATTTCTGGCCTCTTATTCATCTCCAGGTTTTATCATTTCTTTTTGAGAAAATTATGAGTTTTATTTTTTATAGAAAAACACTTTCCTTTTTTTTCCCATTTTAATACAATACAATCTTGAGAAATTCCAAAAAAATTTAAATTCCATCACAGGATTTTGAATGGAATTTGTTGGTATAGTGTCTTTTGGAAATAAATTATATCAATTCATATATAATCACCAAAAACTCCAAAATACCTCTGATAATGCATTCAGCCATAATTCTCCCTTTGGCCACAATTCCAGTCTCAGTAAGAATGCGCCTCTCACTCTCATTCTTGCTTATATTTTCAGTTCCAGACCCAACCTCAATTCTAAGATCATACTTTTCCTTTGGCCCATTTCTCAGTCCTGACCTATTTTTCCACTTCGGGCCTTCTCCCCAAACCACATTTCATTCACAGTACAAGTTTTGCAACTGGACTCTGCCCACTTGGGTCCACAACTCTTCCAACGAACCAGCCATGCTCTAATCCTAGCCCAAATTACTTTATAGAAATTAAACTTAGAGATACCTATAGATTTAAAAGATTTAACAATAATAGAGGGTCAATAAGGAAAGCAATAGGCACCCTTCTTCCTTTAATTACCCTTAAGATTTGGAGATTAGTTATATGGCAGCCATACATTCTCAAGAAGTGAAGTGATCATTATTTTTATTTTTCTAAATGGATGGCAGATTAGAGTAATTCATACATACCTCAGAACTCCTGCATATATCCATTCCCATCCATTATTGCTATATATCTATATAGTACTTAGCAGCTGCATTGTTTTAAATAATATCCCCATTTTTTTTTCTGGTACATCCTAAAACTCTATGCACATAAATTCTATACAATAAAAATTAAATCATCACTATTTCCAGCCCATCAGAAATCATTGGCACTGCCAGGTTCTGCAAGAACGTTGTCAGTGTCACCCCAGTTTATCCAATAAATAGATGTCATTCTCAAATAAAAAGCAAAATATTTGCACTTACAGTTTCTTCAAGACAGTAATGAATTCTTCCAACTTGTCCTTGAACTGGAGTGCAAGCTCTGCAGATGTTTGGCAATGAATGTCTCTAATATAAAAGCCAATATTGTGAAAGTTGTCATCCATGGGACCAGCTCCAGGACGTGCAAAGGATGCCCTAAACAGGAAAACAAATGGTGTTATCAAGTCCTGTTCAGATAACAATAAAAAATAATTTTATCACCTGGAATAAGTTAGGTGTATACACACATATTTAAGATTTAATGTACATATTTCATATGTATATAAAACATGTGCGTAGAAGCTTACATATGTAAACCGTACTAAGGCTTTTGGGATACTCAATATGTGTTGTTAATGTTGCTGTTGAGTCCTTTCAGTTACATCTGACTCTTTGTGACCCCATTTGGGGTTTTCTTGGCAAAGATACTACAGCAGTTTTCCATGTCCTTGTCCAGATTACTTTACAGATAAGGAACTGGGGCAAATGGGATTAAGTGACTTGACCAGGGTCACACAGCTGGTAAGTCTCAGGCCAGATTTGAACTCTTCTTCCTGACTCCAGGGTTCTACATATATACACTTTTTTTTTGTTCCCGACTATAGTAATTGGTGGTTACCTTGATATGTGAGGCTCTTTCTTAGAGTTCTAGCATTTTAATAATGCTTTCCTTTTTCAATATTTTAGAAGCAGCTAAGAAATCATTAATAAGGTTCTCATAAAGAACCTATAATTTTACAATTTAATGTTAAGAATCTATAATATTTTGAAATATATTGACCTTAAATATAGAGGAGGCTATGATTAGGCAAACTTATTTCAACTTCTTTTAAATAATTTTAAACTATATATAATTGGAGGAATACCGTGATCCGATTCCCTTAGGACTGTCTTCCCAATTAAAAGCTCATAGAGGAGTAAAAGGAATAAATGATAGTAATTTACATTAAAGTTTACAAAGCGCTTTGGTGAGGACAATCCTGTGTGATAAGGATAGCATTTTATTGGTGAGGAAACTGAGGCTCAGAGAAGTCACATGTCATTTATCCATAATCACATAGCAGTAAATGTCAGAAGGGGTAACTTGAACTCAGGTCTAATGATTCCATATCCAACTTACCTCTATATTTGAGTCCACAATTCTTCCAATGAACCAGCTATCTTCTAATTCTAGCCTCTATAACATGTTTCTATCTATCTTTAAAAACTGGGAGGAAAACATAAACTCTGACAACTAGAGAATCATAATTTTAACTTTAATACCTAAGAAAATAATTACAATAAAGTTTGAGTTATCTGAAGCACACAGTCAATAAAAACTAATTATCTTGAACTTCCAGGTCATGTAATCAACAAAATATAGAACTAGATTTTTTTTACAATCTTTATGACATCTCAAACTTCTCAAAAACAAGAATTATACATAAAACATAAAGCAATTTCAGCTCTCTCCATGGGCCAGCACATCAAGAACCCTACTAAGGTAACAATTCAATGAACTAACAGCAAGAGAAGACTAATCCTTAACCCCCTAACTTTCTCACTCAGAAATCCTTCCCTGACTGCCCACCATGTAAGTAGGGTTGCAAAAACTAACCCATAGGCTTGCAATAGAACACAACTCGGCCCTCCCTCCTCTCAATGTCAGTAAAACCAAAAAGCATAATCTCACTCTGGCTGGGACAGCAGCATGGCATCCCTCCGTGCTATAACAGGTCTTAGCCATAGAACTGAGGAACAGAGGGAACTGGGGCCAGAGACACGTGTGGCTGGATGATACTCCACTAAACCTTAGGAAAAAAAAAAAACTCGGCACCCAGCTGGAGGCAGGACTGTCCCCTCAGAACTCATTTGAGGCAAAAACTGAGGGTCGTCAAACATGACTTTCCCAGGATGGGAGGAGACCAAGATCCCTTTGAGGTCCAGCCACCATGGAAACTGTAATCAAGAGGAAGGAAAAATAAAGTGAGCAATGAAGGAAAGTTAAGAGGAAAGATTGAAATTGTCAAAGACCTCAAGGGGAAGAAGATTTAGCTGAAGACCTCAAGAGTAAGCAGATAAATGGCCAGGGAAGATGTTAATAATAGAAGGGGATGCAGCCTCCAGATTAACTAAGATTCCAGGCTCTCTGAATAAATACTGCAAGGCAAGGACAAATGAATCAATACCTGATGAGTCAGAGGACCCTGTGAATCCCCAAGAGAGAATGGAAATAAAGCAGAATGTTCCTGAGTGGTTTAAAAGAGAAATAAGAATTATGAAAGCAGAATTTATGGCCTGCACAGCAGAAATAATGGGCAGAATGGAAAAACTTGAATTCACGGTGCCTGTTCTTACTAAAGAGACAAAAGGGGGACATAATGATTGGACCTGTAAATATACAGAAGTGAAGGAGGATCTAGAAAAAGAAAAGCAAAAAGGAATAATATTTAAAGAAAACATGATTACCATAAAAGCAAAACAGATTAATCTGAAAAACAGGATGCACAGAAATAACTTAAGGTTTATAGGTTTTCCAGAAGAACATGGCAAGTCAAAAAACATGGGCAGCATGATATCAGATAGAAATAATGCAAGAAAACTGCTCAGATTTATGAACTTAGAAAACAAAGGGTCAGTAGAAATAATACACAGATCACTTCCAGAAAGGAAAAAAACTCTATGCTATAACCCTTAAGACATGAAGCAGTTAAATTTAATAATTCCACTGAAAAACAACAAATTCTGGAAGCTACCAGGAGAAAATCCTTCAAATATAAAGGAATGGAAAATCAAATAACACAACACTGCTTTGCACCTACCAGAAATTATGGGAGGGAGTGGAATAACATTTTCTGAAGAGGAAAGGAGCTCAAGATGCTGCTTAAGATAAACCACCCTAAAAATTTGAGTCTATCCATTAATAATAAAAAAAAAAATTAAAGGGCATTCAATAAGAAAGAAGCATTCAGAGCATTTCTAGAAAGAAAACTAGACCTGATGAAATTATTTGTTTTTCATATATCTGACAAAAGAAATTCAAGTGTAATGAGCAAATCATGAACTAAACCTCACAATACCCCACATACAAGTAAGTCAGTGTTTTGTGGAACTAAACTATAGAAAGAGAAGGGCATGAAAAGAAAAAGAAAGGAAAGATGTAAAGAAATATGTCAAAGGCTAACAATGAAGGAAAATAGCTACTTCAATCTCTCAGGAAGATGAGATCCTACAGAAGAATGAGTGAAGAGGCAAAAAGAGAAATTGAAACAAGCAAATACAGAAGAAACCTCATTTCAATGTTGGAAGGGCTATCACTGATGAACACCACCATACGAAAAGAGATATATTCTATAAAAGGAAATGGAGACCTTACTAGTATAAACTGTAGAAATTTGCACTTAGAGAACTCATCCTGCCCCAAGAGAAAGGGAATCAGAGCTCCAGAAAGAAACTGAAACTCAGAAGTGAAGAAGGGGACGGACTTAGAAAGCAGCTTGGGAAATCAAGCAGAGAGGGGAGCAGGGAGGATGACCATGGGAAGAGCAATGATTCATAATGAACTACTACCAGGAACATAAGGAAGTTCCTACTATGTGGCAACTATCACCTGCAAGAACTGACATTTCTACGAGTGAGTCACAATAGATGAAAGGGAGCCAGGGGATTAGATTTACAAGAATCTAAAAGATCTATAAACTGTTTGGAAGAAGAAACCCACAATAAACACTAAGGCACCTTTACTTAAGGAAGCCTTAATTCCATGAGAAATACAGACACTGAAAAAGGACTAAATAAATATAAAGACTATGAATCAAAGAAAAAAAATGTCGAGAAGAGACAGAAGTGAAAGATAAATAATGAAGAGAATGAGGGAAAGAAATCCTTTTTTAGGAAAAGGGCCAAAATGAAATTGTCAAAACTAATGAATGAAATAAGTTGAAGGAGAGGAGAGTAAGAGATATTTTAATTGACTACTTAAATGAAGGGGGGGAGGGGAAGAATTGTATAAGTAGATAAATGAAAGAAAGAAAGAAAGAAAAGGAAACTACTAAGTTAAATAAAGCTCCAAAACTAAGGAAAGAGGTAACAAATAGAAAAAGAAGTATTGACTGTGAGAGAAAGAAAGCCGATGAGAATAGGTCTGCATTCAAGTAGATTAAGCTGAAACAAATAAAGAGACAAAGACTATGTTTGCAGAGGAAACTGGGAAAAATTATAATTTAAAAAAAATATATCACATGGGACCTTTGAATAATTATATCTTCCTCTCCTTAATTATTTCCTCCCCCCATCCTTAACTTACTATCACCTTTCTCCTTCCGCCAACCATCATGTAGACCTCAGAGATACATATTTTTGGCTCTGGACAGTTCAATGTTCATGCTTTAAGCTATCCTCACCAATGAAGCTTGAATATTTAATCATTTTTAACTTCAAACTATTTCCTACTTTTATTTTGTTGTGTTTTTTTTTCTTTTCATTCACTCATGAAAGAAACATTTAGTATGCACCTATTGTGTTCAGAAATCTCTTTTAGGTATGAAGAAAATACAAAATCTAGATAAGGGAAGATCCCTACTCTTCTAAAATGTACAGACTATTTAAGGTGATGTAATACAAACATAGATTGTTATTATGCCCACAATTCAATTCAACAAACATTTATTAAGCATTGGAAATCTGTGTCATAAGAGGAAAGTTATTGCCAGCTTCGTGGCAAGGAGAAAGAAGAAATAAATGAAGGAAGTCAACGTAGAAGAAATAGTATTTTGTAGAACAGACTTTAAATGATAGATACGAATTGAACAGACTAAAATGGAGTATGTCAGCAAAAGCAAAAAGAGTATACCACATGTTTGGCATAGATGAGAGAGATATGATATTACCCTGGAAAGGTAGGCTGGTATCTGGTTATTAAAGGTTTTCAATGCCTCGGAACAAATCTTTAACCTCCAAACTTCTAAATGCTAGTGACTTTCTTCTCAACTCTACATCAGTCATAAACTAGGTTAAACCTCACCATCTCTTAGAATTATCTCACCCCAAGGGCTAGAGAGGGAAATTGTGAACCAACTATTGAAGTCATGAAGAAAGATAATGGAAGAACCATATATGAGAGTAACAGACATAGGAAGAAGGTAGGGTACAATTAGTAGATTTCATGAAATTCAAAA